GTAAAAGAACAAAAGTAAATAACATACCACCAAAATCCCCACAGTTGTCCCTTTTGAAATGCCAACTTCACAGAAAACCTATCAATGAGGAAGGGTGACTGATTGTTTCCTTTCAGTTCTCAGGTCAGCCAGGAAACTATGTGCTCTTAGAGGAGGAGTGGGGAAATCTGGCCTAGAAAGCCTGCTTTTGAAGACTCAAAGGTTCCCAGCTAAAATGACTTGGCTAAAATGACTTACCACATCTCCTAAATAAATTTCTGGTGTAGCTCCTGGTTAAATATTATTCTAATATTATTAATGAAAAATTTAGGCATCCCCTGAGCCTAAATCAAGGAGCCCTATAAACATGGCTAAATTGCATCTGTGTGAGGTGGGTTGTTTTGGGGTTTTTTTTTTGGTGGATTTCTTTTTGCAAGAATGAAATCATAAAAATATTTCAAGGGTAGGGGACATGGTGTTGGGGCTGCAATCCTCCAAAGTTTTGTAGGGGACCAATGTACTTCCTCAGCCCTCAGTAACTGCTCACTGTTATCTCAACAAACGTTTCTTGCACACTAAACAGTGGTATTGGAATAATATTAGCTGATCTTACAAGAATACTGTCAAGAGATTTCGAGATTTTCTAAACATCTGATGAAATCCAAACCACTAAGTTACAGTGGCTGGGAATTCAGCAAAAAACAAAACAAAACCCTAAGGATGTCTGAAGCGATTCCAGCCAGGCACCAGGCTCTATTTGTCACAACTTCAAGTTGGCACACAGCCTACAACTGTTTATTCATGGCCATAAAGCTATTGACAGTGAATACAGTAAGAACACATAATTTAATACAGCATTAATCACATGTCCATATCAATAACAACTATACATTTTGGTCTGAAGGGGGAAATACACCAAATATTCAGATGCAGTCAAGGGTCAAAGGTATCTTAATTCACCAATGCTTAGATGAATGAAGCCTCTTGTTTATACAGAAGACTGCAACACATCAATTCTGTACTGGACACAAACACAGTCTCCTAGCAACTCTCTTCCACAAGATTGCCCTAATTCAGAGCAGTAAGAAAACTGGTAACTCTGTAGTGAGTGAGCTTCATTCTCTCAAATGCCTTCAAAACAAATAAACCAATCACCAAATAGCCACAACTATTAGGCATTTACAAAGTATCTGGAGTGTTCCAAGTATTCTCTATACCTAAGGAATCCTTAGGACAGCCATGCAAGGAGAGTCAGTAACAACTAAGAGATAGTAGTTATTTATGGTTTGGGCCAGCGCAAGGCATTTGCTACCCTCTCCTCCTTGGCCAGAGCTTGAAAGTTACACATTACAAGTAATGGTGTTACTGTGACACATTATTATTATTTTTTGAGTAACTAGGATTTACCATTGTTCCCTCATTGAAGTACTACAAAAACTGATTAATTCAATTTATATTCTGTATAACAAATATGAGTTGAGGGTCAAGGAGAGGCTTTGAGTGTTTTCCCCTCCAACTAAACTACATTACATTTTTAGATGGATCCCTGATCCAGAAGAAGCAAAATAGTAATGAGTAATGAAGGAAAAATCTCAGTAATGACTAATTGTAATGAGAGAAATTGTGCACTAAGTACTGGGATGTGTTCTTCAAAAAAGTAACTTTGCCCTGCCTCTCCTATGCCCTGTGCCACTGGCAACCATTGCTTGTCCTTGCTGGGTGGCACTACAGAGAAAGTGCCTCATAGATCACAAGACTTCACCAGATCTCAGCAGACTTGGCTAAGTTCCACAGATCTCTGCAATGTTTCCCAAGACAGAGAAGTGAAAGGAAGATCACTGTTAACATCTCTCATCACAAGGCCCAGCCTCTGCCTGCAGGAAGCAGCTGCCTAATCTGGTGCTCTAGCTGCTCGCTAGATTACACAGAAGTCAGCAGCCATGGAGCAATAGCAATAACAAGTACATTTCTATGCCGCTTATCAGTGCACTTAAGCTGTCCCTAAGCCAGGGGTAGGCAACCTTTTTCAGCCGGGGGCCGGTCCACTGAAGTCCTCCTGCCGGGCTGGGGGGGGGGGGGGGGGGGGGAATGGCGGCACATGCGCTCACGCGCGCACGCACAACTCCCACTGCACGCGCTGCCGCAGCCGCCTCCTCACGTCGCGCCTGCCATTTTGTTTTGCCAAAATGGCAGCCGCGACTTGTTTGCGCATGCACAGTACTCCTGCGCATGTGCAAACCCGTTGCGGCTGCCATTTTGGAAAACAAAATGGCAGGTGCGACGCACGCTGCGGCCGAAACTCGCAGCGGCGGTGGCAGGCAGCGGCAGGGCTTGGCGGGGGCCGGTAAGCGAGGGGCCCCGGGCCAGAACCAGCCCGCGGGCCGTAGGTTGCCGACCCCTGCCCTAAGCGGTTTACAATGTGTAAGCTAATTGGCCCCACAAGCTGGGTACTCATTTTAGCAACCTATGGAAGGATGCAAGGCTAAGTTGACTCTTGAGCCCCTGGCTGGGACTGAACTCACATGAGTGGCTGCAGTATAGGCATTTAAACACAGCGCTACCAGGGCTCTTAAGCTGGAAGCTTTGGTTATAGAACTCATGCTACCAATTTTTTTTCTTTTCTTTCTTTTTTTTTTAAGTGTGGCTGTGGTTTCATTTCAAAACAAAAGAGAAAGAGACTCAATAGTGGCTGGGGCACTCAAATGGATCTGCAATTCCTGGCAAGACGCAAATGGTAGTGGTGGCAGTGACAAAGTCCTGTAAAGTGTGGCAAAAGCTAGTGCATGGGGGTGGGAGCTGACATGCAAACACATGTTCTTGTTTTAGTCTTTCCTGGCCCCTTCCTTAGAGATATAATGCCCCCATTCTTGGAGTGTCAATTGTAACATGTAAACAGGAATGAATATTAAAAAGTGGAAAGAGTTTTAACACTTTCCACATATTTATTGTAAGTTTCCTCCAGCACTATTTCTAAGAAGTTCTGGTAAGTTCAAAAAATTAAGAGCATGGCATTCCTTCCTCCTTAGAAAATACACCTTACACAACGCCACTGTTTGCTGGGATCAATCCACCAGTAGTAAATTACCCCAAATTGTATTAATTTCTCAGATGTGCTCAAGTAAGACATTGATAGACGTAAATCCAAGCAGGTTTCACAACTGCTGAGGTCAGTTTTGCAATCACAAAAAATTTCACAAGTATTTGCACAACAAGAAAGCAACATTAGCTAATCAGAATTCTCAGGCTGAGCCCTTGCCTCTGGCAGAGAAGCACAGGGCTGGGGATACCGAGAGAAATTATGACAGTTGACAGAACAAAACACACGAAAAGGGAACACTGCTTTTTCCATACTTTGTGTGCTCTGCAAACAGTTTTGCTGGAAGGTCAGAAAGATGAGATTGTGGCCATCAGTCAAACTTGATAGTCAGCATGTCATTTGCTATACAACTCCTATTCCCTTGGCAGTCTCATCTCCATGTCAGCCTCTTTAGGAGTGGGGAGAGGAAGTGATACCTCATGGGGAACAGGAGACAAGATTTGCTTTGTAAGTTCCCAGGTGTTTATCCCTTGTTTAAGTCTACTGATTTAATTATTAGAATCCTACACTCCAAATGCAATGTCTGAAGAATAAATGTATCCTATTTGTTCATTTTTCTCCCTTACACGGTTTCTGAATTCTCCATTTTCAAGTATTTTTATAATTAATAATGTGGTTACTTCAAAATACCTACTTTCAAAGTTATGGACTAAATAGGTTACAGGTTTGCCTCCATCCTTTGGAGTGTAGATCATCTCTACCTTTCCAGGGCCAGGAACAACGAAGTCTGTGGCTCTGTACTGCAAGAGAAGAACAGCAAACAAAATGATGAGCAATGAACAACATGCAGACAGCAGGCATCCCTCTGTGTCTAATCTACCAGACTCCACAGCCATGAATGTATGGAATTAAATTTTCATTATTCTGCCTTTAGAGGAAAGATCATACTTTACTGAAATGCTTTCTACATTGAGGCCAAGAACCACAGTGGTAGTTTGCACAGATTCTGTCATGGCTCAATCTATTTTAATGATTAACAAAAATTGCTGCTCAACTCTGTTCTAGCCTACTAAAAGTCTGTAACAGATGAGCTTTATGGCAACTAGTCATAAATTGTAACTGCCTTCTGCTTTCTATCTTTTGTATTATTTCACATTATCTATTACACCCTTATTCAAATAAAGCTTATAATACTTCAAGCCACAAAAATAGAAAAAGCTGCAAGAGATACCTACCTGGTCTCCATAAGCATGACGGCCAATGATTATGGGTTTTATCCACCCAGATACTAGACGGGGAATATTTTTACAGATTATGGCTTCTCTGAAGACTGTGCCACCTAGAATGTTTCGGATTGTTCCATTAGGAGATTTCCACATTTGCTTCAGCTTGAATTCTTCTACCCTTTTCTCATCAGGGGTGATTGTGGCACACTTGATTCCTACATTGTACTTCTTTATCGCTTCTGCAGCTTCCACAGTCACCTTGTCATTAGTTGCATCACGATTCTCTATGCCTAAATCATAGCTGCAAGAAAGTTCCCAAAATATGATCACTTGTAAAATACGGTACAAGAAAAATTGTACTGTGCCCTAGAAAAGCATTACAAGAAAAACTATACTGTGCCCTAGATCTACAGTTCTCAACCTCTGGCCTTCCAGATATTTTAGACTTCATAACCAGAACCCCATTTTCATTTTGGCTGGGGCATTGGGGAGTTGAAGTTTGAAAAATGGAGAATCACTGCCCTAGATGCTCAGGATTAAAAATATTTAACAAAAGAGAAAGAAAATTGTCAGATAACTAAAATAACATCCTACTGGCTTAATTAATAACTGTGTGCCTAAAGGGTTGTTTCTGACTTATGGTGACCCTAAGGCATATTATGGGATTTTCATGGCAAGATTTGTTCAGAGGGTTTGCCTTTGCCTTCCTCTGAGGCTAAAAGAGTATGACTCACCCAAGGTCAACCAGTGGGTTTCTATGGCCAAGCAGGCAATTGAACCCTGATCTCCAAATTCCTAGTCCTATGCTGAAACCACTACACCACATATACAAGTGGGTAATCTTAATACTTAAGTCACCAATGTATTTATGGAAACTGCATATAGTGCAATGCATGATCCCACATTGCTTCTAGGACAAAAATTTTGACATCCTTTTAATTTTTTTTTAAAAAAGGATTAACATGCTTCCAAGTTCACCACATGTGTGGTATTGCCTGGCTATGCTACCAGGTGCTGATTGTTTTGCCAGCGTCAGCAGGAGCAGAGTGACATATCTTGTTAGGCAGGTAGCTAAGTATTCAGAATAAAAACTAAAGTACAAGCACAAGTGGGGGAAAGGTCAAAGATTCCAGTGTTTCATTTGCAAATGACGCACTTAACAGATTTTGCTGTACTTTTGTCAAGGGTACTCTGTCAATGGCCTTGGAATAGTGATGGTCCTGACATCATCTCTAGTGTCTGGGCAAAATGGAGGGGGAAGGGACAAAGTTTGGATAATGAATGCCCTTTCAGACTACAGCTCCCAGAATCCTCCAACCACCAGCTATTATATTTGGGACACTGTAGTCCAAAAAGTAATGTTTCCAAGCTCTGAGAATGAAGTCAAGTGAGGTGCAACTTTACTAGAATATTACACCATGGGAGGAACAGCAAGAAAAGGGAAAAATCTGCATCCAGTGCAGCTACTTTGTACTACACTGGGTCCAGTATCAAAAGGCTGGGATTGGAGTAGTGCACTAGGCCTGAGTAGCTTAAAAGGAGACATAAACCTGTTCAGAGTTGCTATGCACCCTGTTCTCCCTCTCACAATTCTAGGTCTGGTGACAGAATCCCTGTGTTATTAAAAACTTACATGAGACTACAGCAGGGGTAGGCAACCTTTCCCCTTTAAGGGCCAAGGGACTTCAGCTCCCAGAATCCCAGGAGCTATTGGCCAACATGGGACTATTGGCCAACATGGCTGAGGCTTCTGGGAGCTGAAGTCCCTTGGCCCTTAAAGGGGAAAGGTTGCCTACCCCTGGACTACAGCATTGAGAGGTGAAATTCTCTCCTAACACAGGGTGCATCTACACTGTAGAAAGAAGGCAATTAGATACCACTTTAACTGCCAGGGCTCCATCCTACAGAATCCTGGGATTTGTAGTTTGGTGGGGCACCAGCATGCTTTGGCAGAAACAGCTAAAAGATCTTGCAAAACTACAAATCCCAGCATTCCATAGGATGGAGCTACAATACTTAACTGGTGTCAAACTACATTATTTCTACAGTGCAGATGCATCCATAGTGTTACATTTGTTGTAGTTTTGCCAATCATGGAATTTTTGAAAGGGACAGGAGCCCTTCAAGGAAAAACATGGCAACTCACTTTACCTAGTTAACCTCAGAGCCAGAAGCCAATTGGAAACAGCAGAAAATGGCAGAGGCCTTGTAGCTATATCAGAAGGGAGCCCAACAGGGCATTGCAAAGAATAGCAGCCTTGAGTTATGACTTGTAACCCTTTTAAGTTTATCTGAAGCCTTAGCTTTTAAAAGACAAGGTTTCATCACCATGAGCACAGGACTTTTCTCTTCCAAGAAGCTTCATACTGGCCAGTTATAAAAGTTCACAAGGTAAGAAACTTACAATTTAATTTTGTGGACAAACATTCTCCACTTTGATGCTCTACTAATGTATTAGATCACAACTCCCATCATGACTAGGCAACAGTGCCAATAGCCCTCTTCTCTGGAGATGATGGAAGTTATCATACAACACATGTGGAAGTTAAGGAAGTCCGATTTAGATTCTGGAAAGCAAAATGGGTAAAGGCAATAGAATCTACAAAAAGCTTGATGAAACAGTCATGGGACATAGAATTTGCTTTTACAACACAATTACTACATATATAATATGTTATAATCGTATATTGATCATGTAATAATTGTTATAGAAGTACAATTAATTCCTGACAGGGAGGAAGGTTTTACTGACATGGAGAGTCACACAGAAAAAAGTTTTGTGTGAAAAAGAAAGACAAAAAGGCCAAGCGAGACTCTCTGACACAAAAAATAATGATGGACAATCACATGTAATAAACTGCCCTTTCCCCAACAATACAGAAGATTTCTTAAGGCTTGCAGGTACCTGTGGAGATCCAGATCCACATAGGGCAAGATCAGCTTTTCCTTAATCAGGTCCCATATTACACGTGTCATTTCATCCCCCTGCATCTCAACCACAGAACCGCCATGGATTTTTTTAGACATTGTGGCCTAACAGGAAGAAAAAAAGGAAAATTAAACAAACAAACAAACAAACCCCAACATACTAAGCAATACAGATTATAGTTAACGCCCAAGAGGTAAAAATTACAAATGTCGAAATTGGTTTATTTTGTTCTTGCACCCAAAACAAAACAAAGAAAGAAATATTTTTCCTTGCTAGAAGAGATTATGAAAGCTTTCCTACTTTTTGGATAATTTCTGACATTTTGGCACTTTTCTACAAAAATGTCAGTGTTTTTTTGCGAAAAAAATGTTATTGTGAAAAACAATGTACAGGTACTTTGCATAAAACATCACGTTTTGTGGGAAAAAAAATTTTGTGAAAAGTTTCTGTGAGCATGGAAAAGTGCAGTGCCAATCATGATTCCAAAGTTCACTTCTGTAGCTTTATTGCATAGTTACATGACTACTATCTATGTGATCTCAGCAACATCACACAATATACGTACAGTGCATGTTTCAAACACTGTTGGAGTTGTATAGATTCCCGATACAGGGAATATGCACAAATAAGGTATGAACTTGGCCATTTCCATGTGGCTTCTAGCCACAGATATCTGTACACTGGGTAGGCTGTAACACAGAAAGTCCTGCAGAAAGTGGACCTCAGCCTGCAGACCTAATGTAGTCTGCAGACATTTGAAACACAGTTTGATAGAGGTTCAACATCCCCCTCCCACCCCCGCATCCCACTCTAGGGCATCTTCCCTTCTCAGCTAATTGCAAATGAGAATGGGAGTCCCTGCTATTTTTGATTAGAGGTGGATGATTGGAAGCTTCATTTCTTCAGGTCAGATGGTGCTTCCAAGAGCTACTAAGAAGCCTTTGCTCTTCCTCTCAGTATATAGGCTCCTGCAAGAAATTTTACTTTCTTCAAAGCAATGCCACCAAAATTATCATCACGTCTTTGTTTATGCAGGATTAATCTTCTTTTCCATGGGCAGGGGTATTCCTTGAAGGAGTTCTGCCCAGAACAGTCCCATTAATGGAAAGGGCTGCAGTGACCACCTAATTTCCCATCTATCCCACAGCATCACCTCCTGTTTTTCTAGAAGATCCAGCAACCATTCAGAGCAGATTTGGAGGGAGGTGTTGGTAGGAGTACAGGTGGACGGCTGTGTGACAAAGATTGCTGCATTTCCATTCTATTGTTGGGGATTGGCAAAGTACCACTATTAGACTACAATAGTGGGTCCCAAACTTTGGCCCTCCAGTTGTTTTGGACATCAACTTCCAGAGGTCCAGGCCATCTTGGCCAACAGTCAGGAATTCTTGGACCTGAAATCCAAAACATCTAGAGGACCAAAACTGGGAACCACTGGACTACAAATTGTAAATGTTCCTTACTATTGTGGTAATGGCAAACCTCCCCTGAACAAATCTGGCCAAGAAAACCCTTGGATACCTAAGTAGGAAATGACTTGAAGGCACACAACAACAACAAACCACTGACTATGCTGGATAGAGCTGACAGAAGTCTATTATTTTATTTAATCTTAAGTATTTATATCCCATCCTTCAGACAAAAAGGCTCCCAGAGAGGCTTACAAATAGTTAATTTGAGGGTTATAGTTACTTTCAGGCTTGAAATCTAAATAAGACAGGATGCACAGGGAAAAGGGAATGGCAGTAGGGGTGGGGATTAATTAAGTTTATCAGATGCTAGTTGCTTTTCTTCTCCCTCAGAAGCCAGATCAATAGCAACTGGAATCTGGAGGGAAGGTCTCTCATAATCCATTGGGGCCCAGGCATGACGGAGGTGTGCCTACCTGCTCTTTGTGTCTTTCCAAAGGCCTGGAAGACCAGTTTGATCACCCCTGCCCTACTGGATGCCTACAGGAGATGCCTAGAGATAGAAAGCGCCCTTCTGTTAGCAGAGGGAAGATTTTGGATCTTACCCATAGGGCTCAATACTTGAGCAAGGTATTGGGTAAAGCACTATCTGCTCACGTTAGGCAAAGATCCAAACACATTTTCTAGATTATAGAAGTTGTAGTGTTTGACATGGGAACCCAAATGTTGCCCATTCAGGTAATGAGACAACTTCCTTGAATTAAGAAAGCTTCCGAAAGTAACACAAAGAGACAAAAGACAGCAATATGAGGTATCACAACACAAAAGGTACAGCCGGCACAGACATTTCCCTACTTTCCTGTATGCTTTGTGTGCTAAAAGGGAGTGCCGACATATATTAGGTTTCTGAAAGTAAGACTCTTCGCTCAGAACAAGACATTCAAGTCCAGGGGATAAGGAGTTATGGCTCCTACTTGCACCTTGATCCCTTTCAACAAAGGCACTGCTATAAAAGATTTCATGGTTTACTTATAATCCCTGCAGGTATTTGTTGCTACTGATGGTCAACAGAGCAATGACTTGGCATTTTTTTTTCCCTTCAGAAGAAATAGTTTCCCATACCCAATTTTAAACATTTGATGCAAAAACCAAATATGATTCTTGTTTAGGCTCACTCCTCAAATTTTTAAAAACCACTTTTTGTGCCAGACAACCAAGTATTCTTTTTTTTCTAATTAAATATTTATTGAGTTTTTACAGTGAAACACATAAAGTCTGTAGAACAATGACAACAACAACAGCAACAATTAACTACAAGGGCCAAGGATATGTATCTGTGAATAGTTATCCTACAGCAGAATCAAAAAATTAGCTCTCAGCAAAAGCCAGAGAGTCTGGCTTGTCAAGGTGAAGAGTATCTATTCAAAGGTCCATCTGCGAAATAGAAGCTTGGATCTGGTGGGAGTGATGGTTAACATAGTCGATAAAGATC